GTTGCTTTCATTGTGGTTTAAAGGCACAGGCAGTAGTTTTCCATGACGGCTCAGGCAGATCCCGGAACAGAAAAGCCTTCATGATATTTTGGTTTGCGGTTAAAGCTCATTAAAATTCGCTGTTTGGAGACGATCTTGCAATGGCAGCGGCATTTGTTGGCGTGTCACAAACGAACACAATTTAATAACCGAGCGCTGATCTGTATTCAATGCGTGCAGTGCGCGGCACATTTTGCCTTCTGCTTTCCTCTGCAAACTCACCAAGGATTGGGGGGTGGAGAAATGGTCACAAAATAAGCACCATTTCTGGAAATCCGTTAAATAAATAAACATTGTATGATGAATGAATGTTGATCGTTTCAAGCGGGGGTTACGGTTGACTCGTCTTGACCCGTGACTTCATGCTTGGACTTATGCCAAGATTCATTTAAAAGGGCCTCTCCCCATCCACTATGCTATTCAGCCGAGTGCGTAATGCCTCTTCCCAAACTCCACCTCCTCTCAAGCAGAGCACCCTGGCCTCTTAGCTACTTACTTATTTTTCTCTCTGCCGACCCTTGATTTTAAAACATATTCATTCTTTCTGAAGTTGTATCTATCTATAGGCGCTGCGGTGGCGAGATGTTAACTACCTCACCTGGTATGAAGGAGCGTGGGTTCGATCCCAACCCTGATGGCTGTATGTTTGTAGTTTTCATGTTCTCCCCGTGGTCGCGTGGGTTTTTTCTGGGTCCTCCGGTTTTCCCCTCAATATTTAGAATCTACATGCATTTAGAGTATTTGGCTCCTGTAAATGTGCACATGATAATCCACTTCGTTGAGCTATCATTTGTGGCCAGACTGCTTCTGAAATAGCACTCTGCAGTTCAGTGGACCTTCCCTGGTAAAATAGAAATTGTTTAGTTTAATTTTAAAGCATATTCATCCTTTCTTGAGCTGTATCTATTCCATAAACCACACGGGTCAAGAATATGTACGTGCTATCATCGTCGACGAATGAAATCCCAAGTAAATTAGAACAGCACATTACAGCGAGATGTTAGCACCGATAGAAAGGCACGATACAAGACTGTGATACATTTTGTAATGTGCAGTCCTTTATCCATTGCTGAATGAAGGTCTCTCAATGCACAATTTTGTCATGGAGGTTGTTTGACCATACTTCACCATGCTGGTCGGTGCGAATTGGTGACGGTGATGCCCAGAGCCGCCGCTGCTTTTAAACGTGGCCGGAAATCGCAACTCGTGTGGCCAGTTCATAGCTTAGGCGCACGATACACGACGTCACTGCTCAACTTATGTATATATTTTAATCTTCCTTAAATCTGTGTTTTAATCTGTTGGTAACCATAAAAATAGTTGTTGAACAATATAACCTTGAAGCAAAACTATTTTACATTGGTGTAAAAGTGAAGCCCCATGGTGAAAAGTGGTCTCCAATTCTTATTTCCCACTCCAATTCTCTGGTCTCTCTATTTAGGACCACTGTCCCAAAACGTGGCTTTTTGTGCATATTTTCCCCTGTATGTTGAACCTCTTTCGCACCGTACATAACCAACCGTGCTAATCGGAGGTGCGGAGTTATTGACGAATGTGTTGCAATTGTAATTGCACATTGATGGCGGTGGTGGTGGTGGAAAAGCATCAAAAGGTTTACGGTCTGAACCACTGCGTTGTATGCACCGAGTTGTCTATTGAGTGAGCTCATAGTTAATGTGATGGCGAAGACTGGCAGACCGAGGCTCGACAAAGCGCTGACCTCACCCTCCGCCCACCCCCAATTAGCGCTCCCCAAAGCGGTGGCCAGCAACTCCGCGAGACCGCGCGGCTTTCAAAACAAGCGAGGCTCCCAAGTTTTGCATATCGAGCGGCGCTTTCTTAGCGGCTCACAATGGCCGCCATTCTTCTTTGGGGCCGTGTTTGTCAGCGTGCAAAATCACGCGTCGTTGAATTGTATATGTATTTAAAAAAAAATCGCTGACCGTCCTTCTTGTGATACACAAAGTACCTCTCACTGAAGCCTGCTTCAAAGTGGTAAACCATGACAGAAATAGTTAGCTTTAAATGCAAGAAAACACAAGTCGATAATAACCTAAAGACTTGGAAGATAAATAACAATTATGTCCATTTTTTTGCCGAGTATCAAGATGATGGGGAAAAATAATCGGCTTTACCCTTTTCATGCAAGAATATAGGTGTTAAGACGTTTAAACACCAAATACATTTATTACAATGCATTAAATCTGCATTAACCAGACATACTTTTGGAAAAACATGCAAACAAAAAGGCTATCAATTCTCTATGAATTTTCCTTTAAACGGATTGGCCTACACCAGAGACAGCTGACTTCATGTCTCACCAGTTAGACCAAAGCACGCCAAAAGGCGAACAGCACAACAAATAATTGGCTTTACCATATTTAGTGTTTAAACATCTTAACAGCTGTTTTATTGCCGTGTAGGATAAATGAAATTTTTTTATCATCTCGATACTGCCAAAGTGCGCCATAGATATTAGTATCCTCTATGCCCTGGTGTTTTACCTCGGTAGGTATCAACCGGACCTTGAGGTCATGAGTTCCAAAGCTGATCAAAGGTCGACTCAACCTATCATCCCTGTGTACCGCTGTGGGAAGTCAAGAGTGGGTGGCCCATGGGAGGAACGGCTGCTGTTGTCGTAAAGGACACGGCATTTTCACCACTGGTGCAGGACCTCCATGCACATTTTAACAGGAGGGATTGGGGACGTTCATTTATGTATATACTATATATATAGGAGTTGACAGAAACGGCTTTGATCATTATTGCTGCTACATGCATGGAATCGGATGGAAAGAATGACAATTTGTCCATTTTCCTCAAATCATCGGCACCATTATACTTTTCGCCATTGTGAAAATTAGAATAATTGTCTCATAACCTTCGCTTTCCTCAAGACCCTTACAATCATGGATTGATTTATCAATCTTTTTTTAAAGGTCGTCGATTGATTTATTAAACTATTTTTTAACGTCATCGATTTATTGCTTTCAAATGGGCTTCCTTGCAGGCATTATTGATTTGTGAGACCCCAAAAAACGAACACAGTTTAGAACTCACTTTTAGCTTTTGATTGGATTGGGGAGGGGGGGGGTAAAGGGGATCACCTGGGGCTTGAACCCCGAATCTCCAGGGTCTGGGGGGGGGGGGGGCTCAGTGCTTCAAGCACGTGCATTAGAATCGGTCCCCGTAGACGCGCGGCCAGCGAACGCGCGTCCCACATTCCCGACGCGCGCCACGGTGCCGTGACACGACCTCGTGGGCAGAAAGTGAAATTCGGCAACAACGTTCGAGGCATAGCAGAGGCCGCCCAGAGGATTGGGGAACTTCGCTCATGTTGCAAGCGACGGGCTATTTTAGATCTGGCCACTTGCGTTTCCTCTCACCGCATTCCACACACACGCGTGCGCGCATGTGTGCGCACGCGTGTGCGTGCGTGCGTCGTGGCTTTACATAGCGTCTAAAGACATCATTATCTCAGGACACCGCACAACAGCAGGCGCAGAATTAACAACAGATTAAAACTGGGAGAAGGAATGGATAGCGCCCGCGGCATGGCACGCTGGCCGCTTTGCATGGCAGGTCATGTGAACGCTGAATGAATGGCTGGTCTCTTCATGAATCTGCCTCAAGTTCTCTGGCCAACGTATCTAATCCCTCTACCCCCACTCCCCCCTCCACCTTGCAACTCCACACTCCGAACTGGGGGGAGGGGGGGGGGGTTCCGGCCGTGACTTGAGGTGGTCTCCCCTTGCCTTCAACGCCATCACCGGACACGATGACTACCGGCAGTCCAGCACCCACTTGTGTTCTTCATGACGGTGTTCCATACGCAGTTGCTGGGGGTAGTTCAGATTATAGCATGGCTCCCTTTTTCACCAACTGAATTAAAACATTTCCTGGACTGCCCATCAGAGGATTCCTGCAGTACACATTTCTACCTAAACTGCAAGGTCCTAACCAACCTTTCCAAGTGCCATGCTAGCCCCACTGGGCACTCGTGAAGAGCACGCTCAAATTGAAACAACGTCCAGAGCTCTTCTACACTGACAGGATTCCATTGTGAGCAGATTCTATTGGCCTGGTCAGGGCCTTGCAGTGGTGTGGTCGGTGTAGCCAGCATCGAGCGCCAAGTCCAGGTGAATTTCTTCAGACTCGTTGTACCACACGTGCGAAGAATGCCACGTGCATCAACCTACAGCGCGCCGGCCAATAGGAATGCCCGTGCTGCAAGTGTTAATGGTGCGTCACGAAAACCACGTCTGGGTGCAATGGAATGGTGCCAATTCCTCAAGCACACGCCAACAGACCAGCTCCATTAGCCTGGAAAACATCAACACGATTGAATTCGTGTTGATGTGTTCATCTGGGCAGGGCATCTAGATGGGCAAGATTGACGGCGGGATGGAGGCCGATGGAAGGAATGAGGAAAAGAGGCAGACAGAAACCGATGAGACGGTGGTTACGAGCTTAGAATATATTGGGGGAGTTCACTGGACGGAGGTGGCAGCAGGCGATCGTTGAGAGTGCACGACCCTGAGAGGGAGGGGGCCCCTTTTCCCAGCAGTGGTGATATTAATGGATAGAAAGTGCCTTTGCCAAGGCGCTTCACAGCAATTATAAAATTTGACAAAGCATGATAACGATTTGAAATGAATAATTGGGTTATTGTAAGTGGTGGTGTAGTTTTGACGACAGCAGAACAACAACAGGGATTGATTATAAAGAGGGGTTGGGGGATAGGCCTGGTCGTAGCTTGGGGAGGTGGGGGGCTTGGGGAGTGGACCAGAGTTGGGGGGCATCATTGTATTGGGAAGACCCCGTGCTTAGAAGCAATTGCGATGCCTCGAGCCAGGAGGGGGAAGCCCCCCCCCCCCCCCCCACTGCGAGCGAGACGTTTATTGTCAACTCAACGGAGGTGAAAGTCAAATGTAAAAAGCACTCGAGAGTTAGAAACAAAGCACCGTTTTTGCAATAATTTATTTGAGAGGCCAAAGTACTGTGTTGTACACTGTAACAAAGACTGAACAGGTGCTGAAATAGGAACGCTTCTGCACAGCACTTCACAACTATAGCACTGGGGGAGGCAGGGGGGTGCAGAGGGAAGTAGCACTTCCTACAAAATACAGTGGTAAAAGACTCGACATCATACCAAAACAGCAGCACCGAGACTACCGTTATGCCGCACTGTTATAGAGGATTAGCAAGAGTGACTTTTAAGATGAAGATACATTACAGCATGCACGACTGACCGAAGCAGTTTAGTTTAGACATTACGTAAAAGGAACAAAAAAACGTCATTAAAGTTACATGGTAATGAATACCCTTGACCCCAAACCGTGATGAAATTGTCACAGCATCATTGTTTCAACGTCAATTTGTTTTGTTCACATTGCATCACAGCTTTGTTTGCGCTCGGTCGCTTCCCAACTCGTGAAACTTTCTCCAATTCCTCGCACTTTCGGTGGCTCCCACACAGGATGGTTTAACAGCGGCTTAGTGTATCCATGTGGGTCACACACACGCTTCGTGAAGCGACAGTGGGACACGACGACATCTCTGCTGCTTTATGCTGCCGCCGTCGAGCTAAAGAGCAGCATCACTTCAACAGCTCGTCAGCCCGGACGACGAGTTCAAATATCTACTCTCTATCTCATCTGTATTGTATGAAAACAAATTTTTGTCAAATTCACATGCCGTCCAGCCGAAAGACAACTTTCTCGTTAAACATTCTTAACTTTGCTGATGTACGTTGAAATATACTTTACGTGTGTAGTGTGAGTTTGTGACGTTGGTAAATGTCAGCTGCACTCCTACGCATGTCACATGGTGTTGCAGCGAGCCTCCAAGCACGGTGCCTGGGCACTGCGATTGCCTCGTGCTGAGATGAACTCCGCTGAGCCTGCCATGTGCATGCAGTAGGTGGGGCAACTGCACATTGTGAGATTCGCAAAAGCGTAATCTCATGTCGAATAGAAGCCACGCACTCTTTTGACAATTTCCAAAAGCGTAAGCCGATGCGCGCAAGCGTCACAGCTCATGTCTGAAACATTACACACCGACTGCAATCATCCCCACCCCCTCAAAGTCTTCACCGTTAAACGGGTGGTGAACCTGTGCGAGCCTTCACCAGGTCCGACGAACAACAATGAGGGGGGAGAATTTGAATTTGTAGCTAGCCCCGCTGCTCTCTACCCCAACGCAGATGCACGTCAATTCCAATAAACGCTTATAACATGTGTTCCACTGCTACACACGCAGCTACACGCGCACACAAATCGTATCAATAGATGGGAGAAAGTTAATTCAAATGCACAGGGAATATGCAAATGTTTATTCTCATAAGTCCTTTGGCAAGAACTGGTATCATATCAGCCAAAGTATTGACTTTTTTCCTGACAAATGATTCTCCACAGTTTTAATTTTACTGAAGTTACTGAAGCAGCAACAATTTATTTCCATTACGAGTAACATTTATAGCTTAAGCATGACGGTTATTTTTTATTATCAAGTATGTTGCAATTATTCTACGGATGTTAAGAACTAATGGCAAAAATGTAGTGTTAAATTTAACTATGAAAAGGTGATGACTAAATGAACCCGTTCTGAGCATTTAATTTTCAACTGAATAAAGCATGCGAGCCCATTTAAAGGATTTCAGTGTTGAATCCATCTCACCGAGTACCAAAATGGCACGGACAGCAATATGTTTTGAGTCTCGCTCTTTTTCAGAGGCAAATATAATTGGCTTTTTTGTTGTTGTAAATATACAGCGCAGGAGAATATTCAGAATTCACATTACATGGAGGAGGTTAGGGGTTCGATCCCGACCCTGGCGCCTGTTGTATATTTGGAGTTTGCACGTCTCTCTCCCAGTGGTCATGTGGTTTTGTTCTCCGAGTCCTCCGGATTTTCCCTCCACTTTTAGAAACATGTGTTTAGATTATTTGGCTGCGATAAATTTCCACTGGACCATCTGTGCAAAAGAGCTTCATAGCTCATCGTATTTTTCCAGAATAAATAAAGATTCCGATTGTGATAAATATGAAAGATTTTCTCTCAGCCAAGACATGGGCCTTGTTTGAAAAACACTGAAATCCAGAAATGGTCACTCCGGCCTCATCAGCATCAACATCGCAGAGCAAAAAAAAATACTTTGAGTCTCCAAATCCTTCATTTACTTCAAAGTTTCTCAACCGTAGAAAAACCAATGTGCCTTAAAGAAAACTATACAAAACATCTCTAACCACACAAAGGTATTACAAAACAATAACAAATGAAAACATACCCTTGCGAACACTGCATCACAGGCAATATGCCTAAGCAAATTGTAAAGTAACTATCAAGCTGCGATGCACTTTAGTGCACATTTAACAGTTTCCAAAGTGATTAGGTATATCCTAAATCAACCCACTTAGTGTCTTGAAATCTCCCAACACCCGTTTCGAGTGACCACAAACTCCGGTACAAATGAGCACGGACACCACATGGCCGAAGCACACTTGACAGCAAGTGAAGAATACAAAAGTTTTTACCTTGTTTGAGAAGGCGACATTAGCAACTGACAAAAGCCACGTTTCTGAATCAAAGAGGAGAGCATTGCTTTTTAGCAAACCGTTCACTTGATCACACTGCAAAAACAAAATGTATGTGTGCAAAAGCATATCATTCTCTCGCTGGCACCTTACCAAAAGCCAGACTTACCCAAGTGGAATTACTTCAGGATAATTAATTAGAGAGGTGGCATATGGCATGAATGCTAAACGATATCATTGTAGTTATTTTTACGCTTTCGTCTTGTTCACAACTGGTAACAGCCAGTTTGCAAAAAAAAAAATAACTTTGCCAGACTTATTTTTGCTTTCCTGCATAAAAAAATGTATTCAAGTTTGGTCCTCCTAAGTTGCACTTCATATTTATTAACTTTACACCTCTTTTTGTTTTTACAAGGGGGAGCTGTCAAAATTATGTCAAGCTTAGTGGCAAGCAGATGTTGCCTGCATTCAATGTAAGGGACGGTCAGTTCCCAATCCCAACTGACCAATTTGCATAACTCGTTTTCAAATTTGTTCATTTCAAAAAAGCGAGCACACATTACTTTTTACCACTTCCATCGTCCCTGTCCATCTCCTGACTCTCTGCCCTATCATTTAAATCAATCATAATTCTGATGCTTGCCAGGAAAAGAAAAATGTCCTTGGGCTACAACACTTTTATGAAATAATTATTAAAAATAAAAACGCAAACAGTCACGAAAATGCGTGTAAATCATATCGATGTAAGCCCTCTCCTCGCTGGGCCAAGAGGCCGCCACGGCCACTCGGTGCGGTGCGACCACCAGGCCAAGATTACGACCGTCCGGGACCCTAATCCCGAACCTCCGTTCGAATTCCTTGCATCGCATCTGGGTCTGCTGCTGCCCCCACCCAACTACTCGACACTCAGGCTGCTCTGGCTGCTGGGTAAGTAACTTAAGTTGGCACTGACAGGTCGGGTTCTTTATAGACCATTGGTCCTGCCGTGGCATTATAACCATCGTCATCATCATCTTACCATTGCCTTATCGTCACCTTCGTCACGATCGTTACCATGACCAAAGCGAGCAGCAGTCACATGGCCGGGCCCATGGAGCGTCGTTGGTGGAACCTGACGTAACGGGTAATCGGGGTCTGGTGATCGCACGGCGCTCTGCTGCCGGGCGAGGCTCAGAACTCGATCTTGCAGGCGGGGAACGATTCTTCCTGCATGACGACTGTGCTGCTGCTCGCCAGCACCATGATGCTCAGCTCCTTGAGCCGCGCGTGGCTCTCCTGGTACCACTCGCGCATCACCTCCGTGTCATGCGTCGGGATCAGCGTCACCTGCCGGGTTGGCCGGGGGGGCGAGGGGGATGGGGGTAGGGAGGGCGTTTGTAGGTCGAGGGAGGAAGACAATGCGAGGAGTTTGGTTATTTAAGACTAGCGTTGATTTCGATTTTGAAGCATTGCCGATGACTGTACCCGCACATATCGAACGATAAAAATGTTATTCCAGCCCTAAAGCGCGTGTGTCTTTGTGTCTGTTGGATCGCACCACGCAATACGATGGCTGCTGCCGCCCTCGTTACCTGCAGGGCGTTGTTCCCCCACTGGGCTTTGGCCTCCAGCAGGCAGTCGAGCACGCTGCGGCTGGGCTCCTCGCTCGCCGGGTCGTTTCCGCTCACCACATAGTGTGCCGAGCGCACACGCCGGAAGAACTCGACATCGGCCGTCTTGGCGCTGCAGTGGTTGGGGACGTAGGCGAGGTCGACGTAGACGTGCGGCCCCGAGGGGTAGGACGGCGGCAGGCCCGCCGGCTTGCCGGCACCTGGAGGCAGCGGGATGAGAGGCGCGTTCAACAAGGCTGTGGCAGGTGGCCGCGATCAGCTGAGAATATACGAGGGTGTTTCACTCTGCAGAGAGGCTGGATTATTTGGCGACGGTACGGATTTGGTTGAACTATTGCGTACGGAGCAGAGCTAGGCCATGGTACTCGGATTTTGCTGGTAGACGGCAGACAGATAATGGGGTTAAACACAGCAGTGCCCTTGCACAACTGCACATGATAAATTCAGAGAGATGTAAACAGAAATATCCTCAAATGGTGTAAAAACTTGTGAAATGTATTAAAGAATGAAACTGTAGTGCTGGCTGTATGAATCTGAACATTTTCACATTGGGTGGAATAGCTGTAGTGTTGAGCAACATAATGCATTGCCCTCGTGTAGAAATCTGAACACTTCAAAAACTGAAAGAACAGATGCGGTGTTGACAATGCCACTCTCTCACATAATGTCAAGCTGGCCTTAATAGGTGCTTACTAACAGGACTTTCCCCTATAGTATATATGGCTAAAAAACGTTTGTTTTTCTTGTGCAAACAAGTAGGTGACACGTACACGTAGACCATCATCGTGGCTCTCGGGAGTAATCATTGTCGCCTTGGCAAGAAAACGTATACATACTTAAATCTTTTGGGATCTAGACCTCAAGACTTTAACCTCATCGAGTTGAGTTCTTCAAACTGATGATGGCATCAGGCCTTGATCGAACATTTCACAGCCACTGGTTGATTTATAAAGGAAACAGAGATTGCAGAAGTTACTCAAGGATTAGGACTCTAGTAGAGGCGCTAGTTATGATGGGGGCCAAGATCCGATATCTGCATCTTTAAAAACAGCCGTAAAGTTGCTTCTGTGTAGAGATAGGTTGCTCGTAGGAACCACGATCATGCTATTTGTAAAGATTTTCAGAAAAATGACCCAGCCATTGGTGGCAATTCAGCAGTCATGACATCATTCATGACATCAGTGTTGCGAACTTGATGCTCTACAAAACCAGTCGACCAAACTGCCGATTCATCAGAATACAAACGCGCAATTTTGATCACTCACAATTACCTGTTCCAGTGGCCTTAGTCTGTCCGGCACCGCCCCGGGAAGCATTGACGTTCACTCCATTCTTGGCTTCTTTGTCCTGCTTGGTTATTTTGGTTTCAGCTATTTTGTTCGGCTTGGATGTAGGCTTCTCCTTCCCAGCTGCGCCCTTGGGCTGAGCGGCGCTCGGTTTGGCTTTACCATCTGGTTTCTTGGCACCCTTCCCACTTGCCTTCGGATTCGTCTTGCCGTCCTTCTTTGACGTCTTATCTAAATCAGCCTCCTGGGTTTCGGGGTCCGCCATGCAGACGTTTGGGTCCGGGGGCGGTGGGAAGGGGTCCACAGGAGCCGAAGGCGACACGTCGATCCTGCTTCGAGCGTCGACCCGAACCGACTTGTTGCTCTTGTCCGAGGACGTCTTGTCACTCGGGAGGCAGTCCGAGTCATCCTCAGAGTCCTGGGCGGCCTCCGCCGTGCAGTCCTCGGTTCCGGGAGGGATGTCGGAATCGCTGCGAGTCGGCAGCGATTCACTGGCGGAGGTCGGGGGCGTTTCCTCGGTCGGGGACGGTCCGAACGAGAGGCCGCCCGAGTTGTACTGATTGCTCGACGGCCTGTAGAAGCTGTCCGCCGGCTTGGCTCGGTCCTGCGAGTGCTCGCTGTCGTCTGAGAAATCCACAGGGCTCTGTGTCACGCCGCTGTGCTGCAGCCCCTCGCGATGGTGCTGGAACTCGCAAGACGCCACCAGGCAGAGATCCACATCGTGCGCGGATTCATCAACATCCTCCTCCTCCTCCTCGTCGTCGTCGTCCACGTTGTCTTCATCGTTGTGGTTGTTGGGACCTCCCAGACCTTCGAACGCGCGCACATGTGGTGGCGCCGCCTCCTCCTCGACATCCACTTCATTCTCCTCCACGTCGGCCTCGGCATCGCGGTGCTGCGCTTCGCTCAGGCCCTCGGCCATGGAGCCCACGACCCTCACAGGCGACGGGGTGGCAGAGCTCGACGGGCTCGGGCTGTTACCCTGGAAAAACTGCGACTGCGGAGTGATGACGTCGACGTCGAAGGGGCTGAAGTCCACCTCGGTGGGGCCGTTGGAGGCGATGGAGGCGAGGGCGCCCCGTGGCTCCGCCAGGGTGGAGGGGCGCGGCGACATCTCAGGGGGGGAGATGGACATGGGCCGCGGGTCCGACGGATCGCGGTGAGACTGCTCAGGGTCTGGCAGCGAGGCTGGAACCTGCTCCATGGACACGGAGAGAGACTCGTCCACCTCGGTGGAGTGCGGCGAGCCCACCTCGGCGTGCAGGGAGGGAGACACCTCGTCGCCCGTCGTGGCGGCCGTGAAAGGGTCCAGAAAGGAGCTCGTGGCCAATGACGTCGTGGAGGCCGACACTGCCGCCATAATGGCGGCCTCGTCGGTGGTGGGCGTCACCGAGCGGTCCGAGAGGGAGGCGGCGGAGATGGACATCTTGCTCTCCTCGCGCGCCGAGAACAGTTGGCTCGTGTCATCAGCGCGCGTCGGCGACACCTCAATCAGCGGGGCAGCGTGCCTCCTCGAAGGGGTTCCCCGAGAGGCTCAGGGAGAAGTGCGCCTCATGCGGCACCGCTTCCTTGAACTTGCTTGCAACCTTATGGCTGGCACCGTCCACTACTGCGGCCGACGCGATCTCCTCCGACGCAAAGCCGTCCTTCTCATATTCCTTGAACGTGGAACCGTTCTCGAGCACGCCGACGATGAGCCCGTCGGAACTCCGCTCGCAGTGATTGACCACCGAGGCCTCTTCGTGGCCACTGGGCGAGTGTAGGGCCATTTCCGGGAAGAGTTTGAGAGGCGAGTTTGGCAGCGCGGGGACACTGGGGACTTTGTTGGAGCCCTCGACCAGCAAGGAATCCTCCACCAGCGGTGACTGCGTGTACGGAGTGATTCCTGCACTCAGCGGCGGAGACGATGAGGACCTGGTCTCCTCTAATCCACCTCCGAATATGTTGCTGCCAAAAGACGGAAGTTCGTACAGTGCAGGGAGGGTGTCGTCTAAATTACTGAGAAGCCCCCCTTTCTGGGAAATTTCCATTGGCGTCAGGTCAAACTTTACACTGCGGTCGCTGGCTGGAGTCTTGTCGAGAGGTATGTTGCTCGAAGTGGTGAATGTGTCCACGTTCACTTCTCCCCGGATATGTTCAGGGCTTTCCACCGCTGGACTTCCACCATCCTGACTTTGTGAAGGTACATCAGAAGCAGTGTGGTGGTGGTGGTGGGGCGAGGCACCTTTTTCATTATCCAGTTGCTGGAAATGCTGGGAATCGTGCTCAGAAGGAGCCCAATCTTTATCATCCGACTGGTGGAATTGCAGCACATTTTTATCAAGTCCATCGCCATCCAACATTGACGAAACGGGGGGGAATGACTTGTTTTGAACACCAGGATCAAACTCTGCACGTGAGCTCGTGAAAACGGCTCCACCAGTTTTTGGACTCCCAACAGGAGAAGCTTCAGCAGTTTCTGGTTCCTCCACCATTTCTCCATCATCATCACTTCTCTCATCCTCCCTTAGCATTTCATCATCATCATCTGCCAAATCACTGTCAGCAGACTCTGCTTTTGCAACGGCAGGTGCCTCATGGGCGTTATTCCCGCCCTGGTACGCCAATTCTCTTCCGCCATCCGCATCCATGTGACATTTACCTCCAACGTCATACTCTTCTCCATCCAGGTGTGCAGAGTTTTCCCGGTGACAAGGCGTCTCCTCTTCGTGAGGAGACGGTTCGGCATCCGTGGTGGTAATTCCCTCGTCAGGGGAGACCAAGGACATCCCAATGTTGTCTGTTTTCTGCGACACAACAAGCACTTCCTCCTGCGGGCTTGGGATGATCTCTTCCGTCGACTGTTTGAATTCGACACCATCCTTTTTCACCTCATCAAAATCTTTGGTGAGATCTTCCGGCGAAGAGATCGGAGTTTGCTCCTTCGCGGCAGTGGCAATCTGATCAGCTTTCCCTTTTGGCTTTGCAGCTTTTATCTGCACTTTAGTTTTCTTCGCCTCTGTGGCTTTCGCGGCTAAGGCAACTGGCTTCTTCACGTCGGCGCTGTCCTTACGCGGCGCGGTCGTCTTGCCAAGGGGCTTCTTGGCGTCGCTCGCAGAGGCCTTCAGTTCAGGCTTTTTCACTGGCTTTACATCTTTTTTGACTTCCTTGCTTGCCTTTGTATCCTTCACATCCTTCTTGTCGTCCTTCGATTCTTCTTTTTTTATATCCTTCTTGGTAGGTTTATGAAGTTTATCTTTTCCGTCCTTACCGATTGCTGGCTCCTTGGCCACCTTGGGCTTCATCTCGGCCTTGGCTCTCTCAGTGCCGGCCTTGTTGCCAGTGTCGGGCCGTCCAGCAGCTGAAGATTTCGCAGCAGCAGGGATGGCGGCCTGCGTCTTCTCGGCTCTGGACGTCTTAGCCAAATCCGTTTTAGAATCTACCCTCACCATCGCTGCCGTTTCCCCCTTCTTGGCCGTTCCGGGCCTAGAGGACATCTTGAGGCTCTCCTTGCTGTCAGTCCTGTTCTTCGGCTTCAACTGGAAGGGCTTCGCTTGGGCCACGGCGCCAGATGCCAGGTCCCGCTGCGTCACCACCGGGTGCTTGAGAACCTCCAGGTGCTTCAGTTTCTCGAGGCCTTCGAGGATCTTGTTTTGCGGGGCGTTGCCGGGAAAGAGCGTGCGCACGATGCGCTCTGTCGGGCTGGCGGGGTGCCACACCAGCAGTACCGCCACCGAGGTCAGGTACGGCACCGAGACCTCGCCCTCCTTGCCGTTGGGCATCACGACGCCCGACTTGGCCTTGCCGTTGCCGTTCCACTTCCGTAACATGAACTGCATCTCCTTGCTGTCCTTGACGGGGTTGAGCACGTACATCTCAAGCCGCCCGACGCCCAGTTTCTGGAACAGGATGATGGGCTCCAGCGTGGGGCTGTTGGTGCGAAACAGCGGCTCGGGCTGGATGCCCAGCTGGCTCAGGTGCTGCAGAGTCACGCACGCCTCGTCCAGCCCTCGTCTCACCTGGCGGCACAAGCAAGTCAAGGTAGACGGTATGTCAAACGTGCAGTGACAGGGCCAATGATAAGAGACAATCAAGCCAACAACTGCTTTTTTACGATTAGGTATTAGTTGAACAAATTGTTACTTCGGGCACAGAGGTTTAGGGGCCATCCATTTAGTACGTACGCAAAAATCCGTCAAAACCTGACCCCTCCCCCCCTCCCTGTACGCACGCATACTTTTTATCCCCTCCCCCCCCCGAATCCTATAGAACGGCCGATGTTTAATCCACGCAGAAACGATCAACGATTAATAATATTCACGTGTTGGTGAGGGGAAATATTCCAATTTCCACAAGCCATATATAATAGCTGGCCATGCACATTACAAGTGGCAGTCTATATCCGATGTTGAAGATGATGAGCCCATATCTGAACCTGGCTTGGGGGTCTCCCCCCTCCTAGGGTAACGTGATGTAAAATAAATACTTGGCAAGTGACGAGCTAGCAATGGGGAGACAAACTCAGCCAGGTGTGCGTGGTGCTATCTCATCTTGCGTGCTTTTGCCATAACAGGGCCTCAATAGAGGTTCACTGCCTCAGTGCGTACACACCTATAATATGAATAGAATTTAAGTGGAAATATCACATTAAACGATGCGAAAAAACAAAACTGATTTCACATTACTACACAGTGTCAAATTTCCGATTAACTTCGTTTCCATGCCAAGAGAATTGAATATCACAGTTCGTGCCATTAAGAAGCAGAGGATATTGCTAATAACCAACTTTCCATTCATGTTTTTGTTCATGCTTTTAGAGAATATTTTTTTTTCATATACAGATTACGTGCCATTATTGCATTAACGTATTGAAAGCATTGAATATACTATCGTAAAATAAGTTTCCCAAGGACATGTTTAAAAATTTTAATTAGAGTGAGCTATATGAAATTAACCCTTTTAGAAAATGTTCTTTCAAAATCCGCTACCCATCAGGAACCTTACAGAATATATATATATAGTTGAATTACCACCCATTCGCACGTAATGTAATCTGAAATGGGCTCATAACACACGTAAATTTTCAATTAAATTTGCAAAAGGCAACAATGCGTCGTTAAGAAGAGCATGCAAAATACTAAAGCCTGCTACTGCACAATTCATTTTAATATATCTCCTACTTTTGCCAAACCCATCAAATGATGCATTTGTGACTTCCACAGAAAGAAATCGGCTGAGCAGCAGTGAGAAAATAGGCTTAAGCAAAATGTGACTCTTTCCTGCAACATCGCAAAAAGGTGTGAGAGATGCAGGAAAAAGTGTAGATTGATAATATTAATATTAGTGCCTTTGGTAAAAACTAAAACCACTGTAATATTGTCCTTTACTTTGTCAAGAAAGTTTCACTAAGTCTCAAAATACTTTTACAGGATGGCACTGTGTTATGTCCTTTCACAGTATTTTTACATTGGAGGATTTGAATTACCAGAAAACCCACACATGAAGCATGGTGCACATCTGTTTTCTAAGGTTATTTAACCTCATATATATGTTTAATAAATTTTTTTCATAGCTGGATTTGAGGCAAATTAAGTGCAGAACCCAACTGAGTGTGAGGGTATTATTGTACAATCATTGGTGACCAGGCCTAGACGACAAACCACTCCCGACACTTGAAAACCGGGTTTAATCACAGGCGGGTCAAACTTAAGATTCAAGGTGAGGATCTCAAGAGGGCCCAGCTCAGTGCTCGGACCTCTGAGCTGCACAGCCCATTTCACTTTCACACACCACAATGGGCCGAACAACAGAGCATGAAAAACGAACGTTGGCGGCGGGGTCACCGGACTGCCCCATCTTGTCGGGGACGTTGAAGAAGACGACCCCGAGCTCGGGCGATACAAGGTTGCGCAGCCACTCCGGTGACGTCGCCCCGGGCGGCCTGCCCCCCTCCCCGCCGCCCTGCGCCTCCGCCTCCGCCACCTTGCGCTCCAGCAGCGCGTTCACGCCCGGCAGGTTGTCGGCGCCAATGTGCGTGAGCAGCAGGGCGTCGAGCCGGTCCAGGTGGCGTGCCAGCTTCCAGAAGCCGGCGCGGCGCTCCGAGCCTCCGTCCACGAGCAGCGTGAACCCGTTGATGGCGAAGAGCGCCGCGTCCCCGCGCCCGCCGGGGAACACGTAGCAGCACGGGCGCGACAGCTTGAGGAAGCCGCCCGACGCCGGCGCCTCGAGCACGCCGAACGGAGATGGCGCCTCCCACGACTCGGCCAGGTACTCGCTCAGCTCGCACGCGCCCTCCATGCCGGGCGGCAGCAGCGCCGGCGGGTTCACGGAGACGGCCAGGGCGGACGAGGCGACTCCGCCGTCGGAGGCGAGGCTGCCCCAGGAGGCGCTGTCCACGACGGAGCAGCACAGCGTGAGCTCCGCACGCTGCTCGGGGAAGGCGGCGCTCAGGGATTCCTGCACCTGCCGGTCGGAGGGTGGGGGTGGCGCGTGTGCGGCGCAGACAGCGGGAGGACAGGAGATGAGGTTGCGTTATTTTACGAAGCAAGTTAATTGCCCGCAAATGTGTTTATTTATTGGGTAAAACCACATGGCAACAACGCGTTTGTGGATGAGGCACTGCCCACGCCCGTGTGGGTTGTGAGGTTTGGTTATTTTACTCTGACCACACTGGTCTGCGCAGGTTGGTGAAAGTGGGGAGCACCAATGTGGAAGTATAGAAATAAAATATCACAACGGATTGTGCTCTGATACTTCCTCTTATTCCCAGCATGGAGCTCCACATCCGCCTGCAACTCGACGTGTGCGGTGCTCGACCATCAAAGCACTACCCAGGCTCAGAGATGTGACAAGACTGGGCACATGATTTGATCGCTGGCCCTCACATACAGCTAAAATAAACTAACCATAGCACACACACACACGTGCAATAGATTGCACGCATGATTAGCTGCAGAGCTAGCAATCAAGATACTGTAAAGATGACAAAGCTGCTTGGAAAAAAAACATCAACAGCAGAAACAGCAGCAGCAATAAAAACAGCCGCATGAGGAGCAGTAACAGCAGCAAACCTCGTCGTCGGTGCAGATGTTGAGGAGGTGTCGGCAGGAGAAGAAGCCGTCCTGCAGCACGAGGTCGCCGGTGTCCTCTAGGCCCACGCCGGCGAGCAGCAGCAGCTTGTGGTGCTCAGGAGACAGAAGCAGGGCACGCACCTGCATCACAGTAACACACACACACGGCACACGCTGGAACCCGGCCACAGACACTGGCCACCTGCCACACACACGTGCCGGAATGCTGTACCACACACACTCGCTTGACCTACACACACTCACTTAGCCACATGAACGCTGAACCAGACCAAGAAAAGCCCCATTGAACATAAGCTCGACCCGAACATAAGATCGGACTACCAACCACTTGCTCGGCCATACTATTGTGCGGCCAAAAGTTCACTCAACCACACACCGATTCAGACACGCACACTCCCTCAATCATACGATTGTTTAACCACATGTTCACTCAACCACATACTCACCCGACCCGGAGCATGGTTGGCCTTATGCACAGTCAGCCACACGATCACTCGACCAAGAGCTCACGCAACCACATGCTCGCTCAGGCATGCACTCACTCAATCAATAGCTCGCTCAGCCACATGCTCAGTCAGCTGGATGTTCGATCAGCCACATGCTTGTTCAAGCCAAGGGCCCGCCCAGACACGAACTCGGCCGACAAAGCAATGACCCGGCCACACGCTATTCAACCTCACACTCACTCGGCTGCACGACGGCTCAGCTAACTGCTCACTCCGCCATGCACTAGATCAGCCAAGAGCTCGCTCCGCAACCTGCTCATTTCAGTCACATATTCACTCAGTCAATGCTCAGTCAAATGCGTGCTTGCTCAACCACACCCTTGATCATCCATACAAAGACCTTCTGCACAGCCTTAATAGACTGTTGAGGCAAGTGCTGTTATCGAGCACCTATGAATGTCGACACGGCACATGAGGGCATGGGTGGCCATCAACTTCCCCCAAGCAACACCATCGCTCGGCTACATGCTATGACAGCCACCCACGCACAGATGCAGTGGATCGAAAAAAGTGGCCATGGCAATTTAATCAACCAGGGATTTTTTTAACCAGGCATACCCCGCTGAGATTCAGAAACTCTTCTGTAACCGAGGCTCAGATAAGCGCAGTTATTTTTAAGGGGTTGGGATTAAGCTTTGACAAACGGGACACATCATCACACACGAGCACATGTAAGACATTGTTACTTGTCTTTAAAAAGCAAGATATAAGCCAGTTGATAGTAAATTTAACATTTGGGATTGGGCTATAACAACGCTACAAATATTGGGCTTCCGCAGCTGCCGTAATGCAAATTAACTCCAGGAAAAATCTCCTTGTGGAAACCAGTGGGTGACCCCCCCCCCCCCCCGCTGAAATCAGCTCCCTACAAAAGAGCCCCCCTTCTTCATAAAGTGCTTATTGCAGTATACTGACAATTGTCAATTTGCATGATTGTTCCACATGCACTGTACTTCCATAAGGGTTTAATTGAATCAAGCCAATGTTTTAACACATTTGTACAAAATCACATGCCTTCTGGGAATATGAGATGGCAGCTTTGCCATTAGTGTAAAACAAGCTTTGTGGAGGGGGTGCTTGGAATGCGCCTGATCTTCTCGCCTTTTCACAGCAGCTGGAGTAGGGGTGAAGAGGGAGAGTGCTTGGATGGGTGACCGCCATGCATGAAAAAACACAAGGGGTTAGAGGCTGCCGTGGCCTATACATACGTTGTCGGCAGAGGTTCGGTGCGCAAAAAAGAAAAATCCGACCAAAAATAAGATACAACAATCCAACATCTTTGCTCCCTACCTTACCCAGCCCACCACAAACAGTGTGGTGAAATATGGCCGTGTGAGCCCGATAACACCCACAGGCCCTTCGTCCAGCGGTGGATTGACATGAGGGCTGTACATCAGAATCTAAATCTTTATTTATCCTGCAGAAAATACGATGAGCTGTGAGGCTCTGTTGAACAAATATCCAGCGATGGTCTACATATCGGTAAATAACATGCGACATTTGTTCAACACCAGAACTAGTAAGATTATTCATTCGCACAGGCAATCAAAAGATGCAGGTTGTTTAAGCCAATCTGATGGCTCAACATTGACAGCAAATCAACTGAAAGCACCTGCGGATCAGCGCATCCTTTCATTTCCCAGAATAAGACGCTCCCCACCACTGCAGCAGACAAAGAAGAAATATTCGCCGACAAAAAAAATTACACCCGCTGTGGTTTTTTTTTGATAGACGCGCCAAGTTAAATCCCGAGGCGCAATTTGCTCGCGCAGACGACAGATTACGCGCTGCAGCTGTCTATGCTGTCGCTGCAAGAGCCTTATTCAAATTAACAAAAAAAAGGCCAAGAAAAATAATTGATTTGGCTACTCGGCTACAATTAGTGGTGCATTACAGAACCACCCCACCCCCCCTATCCTGGCTATTCATTATTAATGTCATTGACGTCCCGAAGCCCTCCCCCCTTTCCCACCAAGCCATGAGAGGGACCGGGGAAGTCATTTGCACCCATTAGTAACCTGCGATGCCATGCGGACACAATCGATATCCTTCTCCGCTCTGGCTATTCCGGGTGCCAAGGATAAGCCCTGCTTTGCTGGTGTTTATGAATGATGTGTGTCGTAAGGATCTCTTACACCGAGGCTATGAGAAAGAGGAGAGCGAGCAAGAGGGGTTGAGGGGGTAGGGGAGGGGAAGGTGGTGGACACGTGTAGGAAAAAGCCATCGCGCACTTAGATAAATCGAATGCGCATCCGACGAGAGGAATGAGAGCACTTCGGTTATGGAAATCCTTCAGTCAGTGACGCAGCCAAGAGCGGCAGCTGTAATGAAATTGCTGCTTGGCATGCCACCCGTGCCGACACGTCAAACAGAAACGCTTCATCATTTCACAATTTATTCTGGCCCTCTCCCTGCCCACTCCTCCATCGAGTTGGCTGCAATCACGGAGAGGAAGCGGAACGATTCATGGGGCTGCACCAGAGGTCGCAATCGGGTACCCGATACCCGTACCCCTACCCGATACCCAGCTACCCGTACCTGTACCCGTACGGGTACGGGTAGCCGTTTGCGACCCTGGTGCGGCCGGGTACGGGTAGGCCGTGAGTCACTGGTGAGTCACCGTTTGTCACTCATTGCCCAACGTCTTGTCTCTTCTCACAATTCAAGTTCCTAGAATCAACCCACCCGCGCCTGCAACATGGCTTCATCCCAGAGGTCGCAATTGGGTACCCGTACCCTACCCGTACCCAGCCGGGTACGAGTAGCCGGGTATCGGGTAGGGTTCGGGTACCCGTTTGCGACCCTGGTGCGGCCGGGTACGGGTACGGGTAAGGAATCAAAACCCGTTTGCGACCTCTGGACTGCACAGCTCTCCGAACACCTTGGCTCTGAAACCACCAGCCACACAAACGGCCAGAAAAAAACAAAGGTCAAAGCATCAAGGGCAAGGCTCTGGTGTAAGACAAACAAGGCAGCCATGCTCACCAGACCGGAACAAAAACCGTGTTAGTTATTGACTAAAGATCCTCGCCGCAGATCGACAATGCTGGAGCAGTGGCGGCGGCAGCGGCTCTGTCGTCTGGCAGCACTTCACACGAAGCCATCAGATCCATCAGGGTTTCCATGGGAATGAATCCTCTCCGGGACCGCAATGAAGGGAGGAGGAGGGGGTATCGGCGGGAGGTGTGGGGGATTTGCTCTGCCGGCGACATATGTTTGAAACGTCACCGCCCCCCACCCCCCCCCCCCCCCCCGCTTGCCATTGCTCGTAACGGCTCGTTGGGAAGTCTTTAGGGAAGGCCGCACTGTCTTACGCTGGCAGGTGGGTGAGTTAAGTGAAGGCCAGAGCGTGTTGATGTCGCGATTTCGACGATGATATCGTGGGATGTGTCTGACAATCACCATGGTACTATGACAACAAAAATATCAATATCTGAATAAAATCATAACATGCGATTAATAATCTACACAAGACTCATGTTGTGACTCACTGACCTTGCAGAGCATATTCACATGTGGGCAAGGTTCGTTCTCGTTTTGAGTGATGTTGCCTAACCTAAGAGTAACCCTAGCCCTAAGCGTAACAATACTCTGAACATCTGCCCTACTTTGCTTGGAGGTTTTGTTATTCTCAAGTGTTTGAGCATTTTTACATATTAAACCCTTATAAATATGGCTTCTAAAAGGAAAAACATTGGCATTTGATGTTTCTACTGTTTCTACTGTCGATGGGAAAATAGGGTCTGATTTACAACGATCCGATTTACGGCGGGGTTTTCAGGAACGCATTGTGTCGTAAAAGCGGGGACCAGAAGTACATTCCTTAATCAAATTGATGTCAATTTAATCACGCGGGGCGTGGGTGCGCGGGCCAGATCACAATTTCTGTTGCAATGTGCATGGTGAAGAATCCACTCACTCCCAAAAACCAAAGAGGTGTGGTCCGTGTGTTGTTTACCAACTAATCCCAGCTGTGGCTACAGGCAGACAGTAACGCTTTATCCTTCAAGAAAATTCCACGCCCTCCACACTTTGCTCTTTAAGACAAAGAGACGACCGAGCATGTCATCAAATATATACAATATCCTGTGCATGTGTGTGTGTTAGCCCAGACCATTAACATCCAGTGTAAATCTTTGGCATCTGCTCACTCATGGTATTCTGCAGTACTGGTTCAGTACAGGTGCTTTAGTCCCATGAGCCACCCAGAAACCTCCGATTTTGAATTATGCCCAGGACCAGGCACAGCCACAAAACACAATCAGAGAACTCACCACCTTACCGACATGAAGGACAGGGGAGCCCCCCAAACGCAGGGCCCAGGATGTATCTCGCCACGTACAGCCGAAACATGATCTCAGCTGCAATTATCAATTATATTCTCACAACGCAAGCGTCAATATTTTGGCCCTCCGGCTAATTAATAAACCTGACAAGTACGCGAGTAACGACATAATTGTCTCTCGCTTTTATGCACCCAAGGCTCTATTATTTATCGTTAAGAAACGTATTTACATTCCCGCAGAACGTTAAAGTGACTGGAATTGTTATGGCTCGAAGCTGGTTGAATTGGGGGCACAAAGGGCTCCCGGATAACATCAACAATAATAACAA